ATACATACATACATACATACATACATACATACATACATACATACATACATACATACATACATACATACATACATACATATAATATATATACACACACACACACACATGCATATATACACATACACGTTGTGATAATCGTATAATGTCAATATAGCTTCCCTTATTATTACCTCCTCTTCCTTTATCTTTAAGGAGTGTTTCACATTTGTTAGCTCCAGCTTCTCTTTCTGCAGAAGCTGGTCCTTTTCTCCCAGAAGCTTCTCTTGCTGCATTGTAACAGCATTTTTTAGTTTCATCTTGTCCACCAATTTCTTTATATCAGTTTGCAATTTTTTAATGATTTCATTAGCCTAGAATAAAATTGTAGATGATCATTAAGCATTGACCATTTTAAGTATATATAATGGCGTAGAACAGGAATAAAAGTTTACCTTCATAAGCTCTTCAGAGAGGGATTTTACTGTAGTTTCAAGCTTGCCAATTTGCAGCTGCTTTTGTTCCAGAGAGTCTTCAAGTTTTTTCTAAAAAGAAAAAAAAAAAAACCCTAATCACATAAAAAGTGATTCATTGCAGCAGATGCAGGAAAAATTGAGTATGAAATTATTCATTTACCCGATGATAAATTCTGCTTTCAGTGTGCAAATGGCAAGGAAAAAAACAAGCACTGTGCATTAGGCAATTTTATTGCAAAAGTAAAGTCTCTGTTTACACTGCACACATTTTCTTATGTACAAAAAAAAAATAATCCATCACAGTTGACTGTATAAGAGTTTGCTTCATATGGGGTGTGCTTTGGAATATTCCCCTCAGATTATATTGACCTCTTCATGTAGTAACAAAGAGAATAAGGTCCATCCATTCCTTGGATCTTATAAAGAAAACAGTGCGTTTTATTATTATTATTAGATCAAACTTCTCCACAAAGAAAATGAGCCAAATCTACTGTGCTTTGAAACAAACTTGCTGAAGTTAGTTTTATCTGCATTGAAAACCATCTAGGGGGGCATTCACACTTGTGTGTTGCAGGTACAGTGCATTTAAAAACCCTGCTTTCTCCAACTTCCTTAGAAATTAATTGAAACACATGTAAACATGCTGAAGAATGCAATCCACCTTTCATTTAGAGGTGCAAATGTAACTTAATAGGACACATACCTTGTGCTCCTGTGCACTTTCACAAGCATCTGTACTTCGCATCACTACTTGTTCTTTGTCCTTGACTTCCTGTTCGAGAACAGCTGTCCGCATCTTGTACTGGTTTAGAAGTTTCTCTTTCTCGTGGCATTCAGAGTCCAAAGTGGCATTTTCTCGCCGAAGAGAAGAAGCTTCTTGTTTAGCTCTATAATTTTCCTGAAACCCCATTGCACAATTTACTCAACCAGATATATGGTGTCTGCTTGCACACAAAATTTGGTAAAGGTGACAGTTTCTCTAACTCTATCATTTAAAAATTCTTGGAAAGGAACTTTTTTTTATAACACAGTAAACGGATAAGAAAATAATTAGATATTGGCAATGTTGTTTATGTTACATTTTACAAGCTTTAACAATTGTATTTGTTCCTGTGTAAGCAATTTCAGGGTGTGTCTATGCATGATGACATAATACACAACAGTGTCTGTATACCTCTTCCACTGCAGAAAGCTTCCCCTTAAGTTCACGTATGGATGATTCTGACTTGTACTTCCGCTCTGTCAAGTCTTTATTAACCGTTTCCAATTCACACACCCTACTTTCCAAATGTCGTATTGTTCGGTTGTTAGAGGATTCCAGCTCTTTCTTTTGCTGCTCATGCTGAATCTGATATTGAGTTTGAAGCTAGGAGAAAACGGATGGTATTCAATTATAACATCTTGTTGCATTTTGCTACTTAAAGCGTATTAACAATGTTGCAGTCAAATTTGAGAAAACCCCACTAGGGCTGCAACTATTTGATAATCAAAAATAAATCGATAATGATCATCATCAAATGATCATCATTAACAATTAGTTGATTCAGCTCAGCAGTCCCCCCTCAGCTCTGCTCAGACGCCAATCCCCCCACACACCCCCCAACAAGACTTGGCCGCTTTCCTCCCCGCTGCCTGTATCGGCAGAAGGCATTGGAGAGGACACGCGGGGACCAAGAGAGATGGCTGGACGGGTCGGAGAGGATCGTAGGCAGTGGGTGTGAGCAATAGCCAGTTTGCTATTTGCCATTACAATATGAAATAGCCAATAGCAGGCTGGCTATTGCACCCGCCCACTGCCTGCTGTCAATCAGCAGAGAGGACCTGAAGGAGAACTTGCAATAGCCAGCCTATTGGCTATTTTAAATTGCAATAGCAAACTGGCTATTGCACACACCCACCGTCTGCTGTGTTTACATTTCCTGGCTGAAGCTATTCAAAAGAGCGCGAAAGCGAGATCGATTGAGAACAGAGGAAAATTCTTCTTATACATCATGTAATATGTAAGTAGACATTTTAAATTCTTTTATGTTATACTATGTGAAATAGAATATGTGCACAATGCACAACAGGTGTTATCCCCATTTTGGCAGCAAAAGTGAAAATACGTTTTAAAACTAACAGTATTTTAATGCTTGTTATTAAAGTTAGCTTGAAATAATAAAAACAAGTATTCAGAAGCTGAATGAACAAACAACATAGGGTTAAAATAATGTTAGGACTTAAAAAGCAAAGCACAATGTGTGATTGCCCATTAGGGAAACTCCAGTGATGTACACTTTGATTTCCACACTACAAAGAGCATCTAGAGACAGCATGACGACGTGTGGGTGACATCTGCAACCCTGAGAAAAAATCCCCTGAAAATTCCAGAATTTGTGACCCTCATTTGCCTTCTAAAAAAAAAAAAAAAAAAGACACAAAATTGTAATCCAACCTGCAACACCTTCTCTCTCTCTGCTGTGATTTCTTGTGTATGCCTGCTTGTTAATAAAGATGTCTGCGAAGTACAATCATTTCTCAGCTTATCTAGTTCTTTGCACTTCTCTGCCAGGGCCTGTTAAGAAAGATATTACAAATGTAAAAACATATAAAAGCAAGATTTTTATACATAAAATCATGAAGTAAAACAAAACACATCACAAAACAAAATGAGAATGAGTGGAAATCACTCACCTCATAGTTCTCCTTTAATAAAGATCACCTATGGTTTTACAGTATGGAGTGTGTTTTATGTGCTTACTTCTGACACGCAGAGAATTTATCACTGAGATAATATTACAAGTGAACCCTGCTGGGGAAGACTTCCGAGAAATCACCTGATAAGAGTGGATAAAAGTGGTTTTCGACTATACTAATCTAAAGTAAAGCAAAGATATATTCTATAGTTGCATATGCTCAAAGTGAGCATATGCCCATTGGCGACTGGTGCTACATGGGTGCTGAAGTTGTGGACAGAGATTTTACCAGGTGCTATCTCTCTCTGATGAGAAGGTAGAAGGATAGAAGTGGATATAAATTAACACCTTGTCCAATGACAAACGCTTAAAGATTTGGTTACTTTGGATTTTGTTTTGGACATTTGAATGGTTTAGAATAGTTTTTTTGCTACACTGTAGTATGTGTTATGTGAATGAGGCTTCATAATTGTAATCTTATTCTCTGTGTTCACATAATTAACATAATTTTAGGGCTGCACTTGTATTCAATGTACGTGTGTGAGCAGCTGATACCTAGATTAGCGCTTGATAATAATATTTTAAAAAAAAATCTATATATTTTTCACATCTTTTCCTAATAGCGTTGAAGGCTCTTTGCAAATACTGTATAGGCCAGTTTACCATCAAATTGCAAGACCCAATTCACAGTTTGGGTTTTTTCATAATTTATAAAAAAGTTATTAACGCCATTGTTGGGGGTGAAAGATCACTTGGCTCACACTAAGGTTATATCTTAATGGAACTCATTAATTCTGCAGCGCAGGCAGAAAAGACATGTAGAAAGCTTGGACTCGGTTCATCCCTTACAAGAATACAACTCACCAATGCACAACGAAGAACAGACAAGGTGAAACCATTGACTAGATTCATCCCTTACAGGAATGGGACCTATCAAGGCACAATGAAAAGAAAAGACCACATAGAATGACCATGACCATTTTTATAGCCTTTTTCTTTTTTTAAATCAGGAAGATAAGTGCATTTCCTTTATTTCTATTTTTTTTCAGGACAGCATTAACGTCATTTTTTAATGTAGTGGCCAGGCAAATGGTCCAAAGGGACTCTTTATAAGTTGAACACACTGGAGTTAGTTGTCCTTCAGCATCAAAGGAAATGCTGATATTTGCTTTAAACTCATCCCCTCTGAAAAAATAGCATTATATTGACAATATAAAAGACTTCTTACCTGTTGCGTTACAGAAAGTTTCTGAGAAAGTTCCTCTTCAGATTTCTGTAACTTTCCCTTTAAAACATAATTTTCCAACTAAAAGTGAAAAAAAAAAATGATATTAGTTAATATATGGGTATTTCAAATAAAGGGGGGAAACTCCAAAGTCTAACCTACAGGCTATCAAAGTATAAAATTGAAATATTCACTATCTGAGTTGTCCTTCACATGAATGAAGCTAGTCACACACAGATGGGCACTGGTTAAACACATTCTGTAGAGGTATATGAACAGACCACACTATCCAGAGAATTCCAATACTTCAGACTTTATTAAAGATTCACAGCAAATCCAGTATAACAGTGAAAAAAAGTGTATAAAAAGCAACAAATTGACCTCTATGAATAATCCTACGGGTGAAACATGTCAGAGATTATAGCTGGTTGGGGGTGTGCAGTGCTGGCATTTGATGCTTTATACACCTTTTTCACTGTTATACTGGATTAAAAAAAAAGACACAAAATTGTAATCCAACCTGCAACACCTTCTCTCTCTCTGCTGTGATTTCTTGTGTATGCCTGCTTGTTAATAAAGATGTCTGCGAAGTACAATCATTTCTCAGCTTATCTAGTTCTTTGCACTTCTCTGCCAGGGCCTGTTAAGAAAGATATTACAAATGTAAAAACATATAAAAGCAAGATTTTTATACATAAAATCATGAAGTAAAACAAAACACATCACAAAACAAAATGAGAATGAGTGGAAATCACTCACCTCATAGTTCTCCTTTAATAAAGATCACCTATGGTTTTACAGTATGGAGTGTGTTTTATGTGCTTACTTCTGACACGCAGAGAATTTATCACTGAGATAATATTACAAGTGAACCCTGCTGGGGAAGACTTCCGAGAAATCACCTGATAAGAGTGGATAAAAGTGGTTTTCGACTATACTAATCTAAAGTAAAGCAAAGATATATTCTATAGTTGCATATGCTCAAAGTGAGCATATGCCCATTGGCGACTGGTGCTACATGGGTGCTGAAGTTGTGGACAGAGATTTTACCAGGTGCTATCTCTCTCTGATGAGAAGGTAGAAGGATAGAAGTGGATATAAATTAACACCTTGTCCAATGACAAACGCTTAAAGATTTGGTTACTTTGGATTTTGTTTTGGACATTTGAATGGTTTAGAATAGTTTTTTTGCTACACTGTAGTATGTGTTATGTGAATGAGGCTTCATAATTGTAATCTTATTCTCTGTGTTCACATAATTAACATAATTTTAGGGCTGCACTTGTATTCAATGTACGTGTGTGAGCAGCTGATACCTAGATTAGCGCTTGATAATAATATTTTAAAAAAAAATCTATATATTTTTCACATCTTTTCCTAATAGCGTTGAAGGCTCTTTGCAAATACTGTATAGGCCAGTTTACCATCAAATTGCAAGACCCAATTCACAGTTTGGGTTTTTTCATAATTTATAAAAAAGTTATTAACGCCATTGTTGGGGGTGAAAGATCACTTGGCTCACACTAAGGTTATATCTTAATGGAACTCATTAATTCTGCAGCGCAGGCAGAAAAGACATGTAGAAAGCTTGGACTCGGTTCATCCCTTACAAGAATACAACTCACCAATGCACAACGAAGAACAGACAAGGTGAAACCATTGACTAGATTCATCCCTTACAGGAATGGGACCTATCAAGGCACAATGAAAAGAAAAGACCACATAGAATGACCATGACCATTTTTATAGCCTTTTTCTTTTTTTAAATCAGGAAGATAAGTGCATTTCCTTTATTTCTATTTTTTTTCAGGACAGCATTAACGTCATTTTTTAATGTAGTGGCCAGGCAAATGGTCCAAAGGGACTCTTTATAAGTTGAACACACTGGAGTTAGTTGTCCTTCAGCATCAAAGGAAATGCTGATATTTGCTTTAAACTCATCCCCTCTGAAAAAATAGCATTATATTGACAATATAAAAGACTTCTTACCTGTTGCGTTACAGAAAGTTTCTGAGAAAGTTCCTCTTCAGATTTCTGTAACTTTCCCTTTAAAACATAATTTTCCAACTAAAAGTGAAAAAAAAAAATGATATTAGTTAATATATGGGTATTTCAAATAAAGGGGGGAAACTCCAAAGTCTAACCTACAGGCTATCAAAGTATAAAATTGAAATATTCACTATCTGAGTTGTCCTTCACATGAATGAAGCTAGTCACACACAGATGGGCACTGGTTAAACACATTCTGTAGAGGTATATGAACAGACCACACTATCCAGAGAATTCCAATACTTCAGACTTTATTAAAGATTCACAGCAAATCCAGTATAACAGTGAAAAAAAGTGTATAAAAAGCAACAAATTGACCTCTATGAATAATCCTACGGGTGAAACATGTCAGAGATTATAGCTGGTTGGGGGTGTGCAGTGCTGGCATTTGATGCTTTATACACCTTTTTCACTGTTATACTGGATTTGCTGTGAATCTTTAATAAAGTCTGAAGTATTGGAATTCTCTGGATAGTGCGGTCTGTTCGTATACTATTACATTCCAAGCTGGAGACACACCTATTAGACCAGCACCTGGGGAGTCCTGATGGTGGCTAATTGGATTGGAGCGGGGGATTTCCTTTGGCTCCACATTCTGTAGAGGGCTGTACTCCAAGGGTCTCATATATGAGCAACTGCCCATTGTTGACCCATTTAGAGCATAGGAATCCTCCTAACACCCAAGCTCTTAATGGGCATTATACTAGGTAAACCCTGCATGGTTTTTGGAAGTGCTGTGATAGACCTGTTATTCGCTTTAAATTAAATCTTGACTTATTTGGGTCAGATGATATTTTCAAATAAATTCATTCCTCCATAATTGTACCTTTAGCAACGAGGTGACTATTTCAAAGAATGGTGTCAAGTACTTTTGGCAAGCATACAGATTATCAACATAGCAGTGAGCCATCATGTTCTTGGCAACCTTGTAGTGGGATGCCAGTTTGGAACGCAGGGCTAGTGTTTTTACAGATTTCCTTGACCAAGATCATTCCAGGCTGGGTGATAGTTTGCTCAATCTGTTTTGATAAGTTCTACAGCAAAAAAACAAAATAAATACTTACAGTTCTTGAGTTTTGGTCTGTTCACACCTAAACTGATACAACACTGTGTGATTTGCGTTTCAGTAAAAAAGCAAAAGTAAATGCTTTGCAGCATTCAGAACTTGTTGATGACTGCAATTTATGTTATGTTATAACCTTAAGGTTCATTACTGACTAGTGAAATCACCAAAAATAGAAAATATAGAGTAAGTGCTTCACTGATGTTTGAGAAATATAATAGAAACTTGTGGGAAATGTTCACAAAGTATTTTTTCCTCGAACAACTTTTTCAGAATGAAAATGCAAAAACTCAGAACTGTAATGAAAATGTTTGTGGGGTGCGAGGGAAGGCAGAGGTGTACATATGACAGACCAGGCCAAGTGAACCAACAGACATCTTGCAGTTTGTACTCGTCAGCCAAGTATTCCCTCACAGAAGTCTATAAAGATTCTCAACACACAGACTGACGACAGGGGGGCTGATGAAGGACTGGGGAAGGAAGTGTTCTGCACTGGACAACTGTGACCCATCCTAAATCACCATTACACTTTGCTAAACAGAGGGGCATTGTGTGGTCACAGTTTTCTACTTAACTTCATAATAAATCCATAAATCAATGCAAATGTGGCCAGACTCACCTTTAAGCTTTTAATGCAGTTGGCAAGATACTTCTTTACATCACTGTCACTGCCTTCCAAAAGTTTCAAGGAAAGATGGATGAGATGTTTGAACGGATTTGTTTCAATTATATTTAAACTTGCAGCCATACAGTCCATTCCATTTGAAGAGGTCAGCAACTGAAGTAAAAACCTGTGACACACAAAACAATTATCCAAAACACACTTTTGATAACATCTCTAAAAAGCTTCAATATAATTTTGGATCGATTTTTACACTTGGCACAAATATTTTCGAAAGCACTAGATTATGGATACTACAGCCATAGTTCATGAAGAGGTTCTATGCCTAAAAGCCTGACTTTGCCAGGTCATGCAGTCTAGATTGTCTAAAATATTGTTGAGGAAGCCTAAAAAGTTGCCTCCAACTTCCCAGGTCTACTTTTTCAGCCAAAGTTGTTGGTCACTCCACTTAGAAACTATGCTCTCACTACCATGTCCACACAAAATCCAAACATGCAATATGAACACAAACCACACATGCCTTGTGTTTAGGAATGGACAAAAAAAAAACCTCATAAACACACGCCTCTCAAAATCCCACTTATTAGTGTTTGCGCGCACCCTCTGCTTACACATTCTTGTATGGGTGAAGTTTTAAATGTTAATAAGACACTGCTGTATTTTGAGAGCATGCTTTCCTGCATTCAGATTAGGTGCAGTATGCAGATATGCAATGGCCGCTCTCATGCAGAACAGAGCACTCTACCTTGGGCATACAACTCGCAAGAAAAATTTGGGACAGGGACATAGGACACAGCAATGACTTGGCGTACCCGATGAGCACTGCAGGGAACTTCCAAATCATTGGATTCAGCATTCTTTACACACATATACATACATACATATATATA